AAAAAAAAAAAAAAGAAAAGAAGAAGCTAGAGCCACTTCAGCATGAGTTCAATCCCAGCCTACCCCAGAGGTGACCCACATGGCGTGGCAGACCCCTCCTGACCTGCCCGCTGCTCCCCTCAGCAGTGTACTTCAGTGATCTGCCTGTTCTGCTCCCCACTCTGTCTCTGGCGAATCCTCTCACTGCCCCTGCACCTCTGGCCTGTACTCCAGTTCTGTATGCACAAATAAATCTTTAAAAAATAAATAATTTCTTAAAATACAAAAAATGAAAACAATTTTCTACTTTAAAATATACACATCTAAGTACATAAGAACATTTTTTACCAGGTAAAAAATAATAGTTCCTGAATCATCAAGTACTAAAATAGCCAAAATCCAATTTAGGATACAGCAAAAAGATTTAAATGATATTATTCCTTCAGAAGATTAAAAATGAACGTATCTACCACCCAGTAAATGGTCATTTACTAAAAATCCAAGGTAAGTTAAAAATCCAAACTAAGCAGTATGCCATAAAAGTCAAAAACTACATAAAACAATCCCCACTCTAATCTAAGCACCTAATTTATTATCCACAGTGTGGTAATATTTGAATATAAATTTGGTATCATTCATCTCTTTGAAATGCTGGTAATTAGGGCCTCCCTGTTAGCACAAGGGTTTAAATCTCTGCACTATGAAGATATCCACAGTCACTGCAGCATGAGTTTGATCCCTGGCCAGGGAGGTGACCCACATATGATGCAACAGACCTCTCCTGAAATAACAAGCAGTGTTATTTCAGTCACTTTGCCTATTCTGTTCCCCATTCTGTCTCTAATGAATCTTCTCAACCCCACACCTCTGGCCTGTACCCAAGTTCTTATATGCATAAATAAATAAATTTTAAAAAAGAAGCTGGTAATTAAAAAAGAACAATAAAGTAGGTGCCAAAGATTTTATTTTTAAGAAATTTTATTTACACATATAAGAACTAGGGCATAGGCCAGAGGTGCAGGGGGCTGGGTGTGAGAGGGTTCACCAGATACAAAGTGGGGAGTAGAACAGGCAGATATACTGAATACACTGCTGAAAGGAGCAGGAAATGAGGCAGGAGAGGTCTGCTGTGCCATATGAGTTAGCTTCCTGGCTAGAGGTTTAAGTTTATGTCACAGTAGCTGGCAACAGTTTGATAGTACTGAGACCCCTGTACCACCAGGGAGGCCCAGCTCCAAACATCTTAGACTGGAGAAATTACAAGAAGTCAGTCACAAGTAATTGCCTGCCCTACATTGGCAGCTAACAAGTTATTTTTAAGAAAAGTTGAGTAGGTAGAAAGAGAAGCTTAAGAAAAATCTACAAAGAGAATACTCAATAATCTAGGTTTAAAAATGGTCTTGGGAATGCATCCTAAAAGAATATATCAAAAAGGCCAGGAACCTAAATTAATACAGTTACAGAACAACAGAGCAATTAACAATGAAATAAAATTTTTAAAATATGAAGGTATGAAGGCCTGAGAATGATATGAGGATACCTTCATGTAGGTAAGAATGAAGTGTATGTGCAGTGCTTTCCAAACTAATCCATGAGAGTATGTGTAAGGGAGAAGTAAAATGTCAAATTTAGTTATTAAATAGTAGAAATAGCTCAGAGAGTAGATACAATGAGGTACTTCAAATATTTGTAATTTCAATAACAATATTTAGCTATCATACACATTAATGCAGAATTACTAAGAACAAATACAGGGAAGAACAGAATGTCACCGCAGCAAAACAATCACTTTAATGAAAAAGGAACAGAAAGTAAACTTCTAAACGTTGATAACTGTTTCTGATCTTTAGCATTATGATGAGGGGAAAGATTTATACTTAGAAACAGGAATCAAACTTCTGAATCTACCTAACTTGTACCCATTTTCCTCCCACTTTTCTATGGTTAGCAATTTTCAAGTAGAAGCTCGAATTTCCCAAGGAAATTAGAATTGCTAAATTTCACCCGTTTTTATCTTAAGAGGGAGCAAGAGGAAAAAAAAAAAAACCCTATTCAAACACAGAAGAACCAGGCATCCATTTTTACAAGTCTCTAAGCTTGATCATTCACATGGCAAAGATAGAAAGGATTAACCATTGATCTAGACTCACCTTCCAGAAAAGCAAATTCATCCACAGCTTCTATTGCATTATCTGAAACATAAGGTAAAAAGATAACTGACTGAGTAGTCATTTGGCCACGACCCCCAAAAAATACACTGCCCGTCTATGAGGTCTAGCAAATAAGAGTGTTTATAAAACTTGCTCTTGACAGTCTTGAGATCCATTTCTACTCCACCACTATATCTTACACATCAACACTCTCCACAAGAGTAGAAAAGTCTGTTCAAGTAAATATTATTCAGCAGGGGAAACTATTTCTTTGAAAGTTACTAGAGGTAAGTTTGGCAATATAGCAGGGTGCTAATATGGTACATGAAGGCTTACACACGTGGGTAGGCTAAATCAGGAATCAACCTTCCTCCCCAACACCTTCCACCCAAAGTCTAGGTGGAAAAGAAGTATCAGGCCTGGTGTGGTATGGTAGAGCTGCCTGTCACCACCTACACTTCTTTCACTGTCCCACCAACCCTTCAGTCTCAGACCAGAGACTAACTGGCATTGTGGCAGTCCTAAAGATAACACAGAGAGACCCAGTGGCAACTCAACTTGGTGAGTGACCCCTTACCGACCAGTGATAAACTCTCTCCCCACCCACTCCCCCGATACGAGAGACTACAGTGACACTCTACCCAAATCTCTCCTCTGGAGCGTTTTCCTCTTTCCTTGTTGAGCACAGCAGTAGGCATCTTTGGCAATGGTCTCTACGAACAGTTCCTGTGAAGCAAACAAATATAGGTGTATTTATGGGTCCTCACAATTTCCGTGAGTGCTCAAGTTTTTGAGTGGAGCGGAAGAGATGAAAGGGAGCTCCGGTACGTGGTAGATGTAGTCGGGAAGGTCGGGACTGCCCAGGATTTCCAGATGTTCTATTCCCCTTTCTCTTGCCCTTGGCCGGGACGCGATCCTCTCTAGGAAATCCGCCTCACTCATACACTAAAGTCTCCTACAAATTCGGTGCCTAGCACTGCAGAAGCAAGTTAAGTCGCCCAGGTCCTCAAGAAGAGACAAGAGGTATTAAATCTGCAACTACTGTAGGTACGCTTCCCGTCTTCCTTCCCACACGCACGTCTCAAAATCCCCACCCAGCCCCTCTGCACATGCTACTACCAATGCTCCCCGCCCAGACCCTCCTCTACCCTATCCAGGTCCAAACCCGGCCCAGGCCACCCTCGAGCCCCGCCCTTAGCCCGGCTTCCACTATCCCCGCCCCCGCCGCGCCCCGCGCTCCCGCCGCACCGCGGCTCGCGCCAGAATGAAGATGGCTTCCTGTCCCGCGAGCGTCACGTCGGGGTCCGCCTTCACTAAGGCCTTCACTCGCGCTAGAGGCAGCCTCGAGAGACGAGCCCCGGGCGCATTAGTCGGGGCTTGGGGCTGCGGGGTCGCTGCCTCCCCACCAGACCCCTCCTCTTCCCGGGGCGTCCCGGTTCCAGTCGTCGCCGCCACCACCGCCGCCATCCCGGCCCCGAGCGAGTCGCGCGCGGCCGCTAACTGTGCGCGCGCAGGAGGCGCCAGCCCCTTTCCCGCGCGCGCTGGAGGCTCCGCCCCTCCGTAGGCGCGTAGCCCCGCCCCTCAAGCTGTGGGCGGGGATCGGGCGAGGGCGTGGCGGCTGTCAGTCTTCCACCAAGCCTCGCAGCCGCGGAACTCATGGAAAATCCCAGTTTCCCGGGCTTCACTGGCCTTCCGCCCAACTTGAGACGAGGCATCACCTCTTAGTCGGGTGGTCCAGGTTGGTGCCAGGAGTTACCCCCATTCCTGCCATAGCTAGAGAACCCAAACCAGGCCTGCCAAGGAGTGTTATCCACGGCTGAGAAAGTCAAGTGGTCCAGGGAGGCCTGCACGTCCACCCACTTCCGCACCTCCCAACAACTCAGCATCCGGAAAACAGTGCCAACTCTGGACCATCTTCTAGGAGGACAAGATGCTTTTGAATGAGGGGTAGAACTGCAGGTGGAAGTGGTCCAGACAACTATAAAAAAAAAGGGTGTGGAGATTGGTGGAAGTATGATGGAGTGATCACAATGTCCCACTTTCTGTCAGCCAAAATTGCACCAGCACTTAGGGTTCTCAAACTGTGCTCAAGATCCCTTAACACTTATAAATTATTAAGGACCCCAAGGAACTTTTCTGTAGGTTATATCGATATTTTTATCGCGTTAGAAATTAAAGTTTTAAAGCACTCAAAATAACGAATATATTACAAGTTATCATAAATAACACTTGGATGACAACTTTACAAAGCCAAATAATTAGTGAGAAAGGTCTCTGATGTCTGGCTTGATCGAAGCCAAATGGAAGACCACTGAATTTTCTAGCTGCTGCTGTTACGTTTATGTTACTGGTTTGCACATAGCTCTGGAAAACTGCATCTTCTTAAAAGAATAAGAATTAAAATAACCTAATATTATCAAGAAAATACCTTTAGGCTCTCCCTGGTGGCACAACAGGTTAAAGAGCAGCCTGCAGAGACACAGCCTCTTTAGCATGAGTTCAATCTGGGCCAGGGAGGTGATCCACAGACCTCTCCTGTCTCACTGCTGCTCCCCTCAGCAGTGTACTTCATCCATCTGCCTGTCTGCTCCCCACTCTATCTCTGGTGAATCTTCTCACCGCCCCTACACCTCTGGCCTATACCCCAGTTCTGAATGTATAAATAAATCTTTTTAAAAAGAAAATATCTTTAAAAAAAGTTTTCACTTCACGGAGCCCTTAAGACCATCACTCAGAACACATAGATTCCAGGAATCCCTGCACTACACTTTGAATCTGCTGATGTAGAGGAACAGCTGTACTTGCAATAACAGGCTAAGTATTTACTCTGTATATGGATCAAAATATACCTGAACTCAGTGGTTGTTCTCTCGTGGGTGTCTGCCCTGAATCAAAGGCACTGTGAAGGTGGAGTGCACAAAGGATAAGAATTTATTTCCTTGTGTAAAGGAAGAAAAGGAGAAAGTGAAATTAGTGTTTCCAAGAAACTGTCTCCTAGAAGGGATAATGAGCTGTTTGGGGGGTAGGGGGGGGGCTTCCAGGAATGTCTTTCTTCCCATGCTGTTTCCACTCCTTGCAACCAGTCTCTTCAAGCATTCCTTTTTTTCATAAGAGAAGTTTGCACTTTACCCCCTTAACAACTTTTACCCTCTGGAATAGGGAAACAGGACTTAAATGGAGCTTAAGAAGATATTACAAATAAAGACTGAAGTGGTAATTTGGGATTATGTCATGAGTAAATTATCATGTATTGTGACCATTTTAAAATATGCCTCATTCAGGAGGCACAGACTAAATCACCTCCCCTCAAGTGAGCAGAATATGGTAGAAGTGATACAGTATGCTTCCAAGAATAGATCATAAAAGACATTACAAAGAGACTACTAGAACTAATGAGTTCAGCAAGATTACAGGGTATCAGATCAACATTAAAAAATCTATTGAATTTTTATATTCTGGCAATGAACAGCACAGAAGTGACCAAGACCTTGATCTCCACCCAATGCACACGTTTTCAACAACCAAGACACAGAACTGAAATAAATTACAGAAGAAGTGGTGGAAGAAATGCTGGTTCCCAAAAGCACTTTGGTTACTCCAATACTTGACTATGATGGAACATAACAGTTCTAGGAAGTTTGTCTCTAACCTCAAGAAAGGCCTAGAATATATCTATACATACACCTGTGAGAACCCAAAGAGGCCCCAGAACACACGTGGGAAAAACGTACTGAGATATGGCTGACATCATTTAGCCAGATACCCCATCCTCCAACTGACACACACCCATAGGCAAAAATCTTGAATATCTTGGGACCTTTACAACCACCACCACCACCGCCACACACACACTCACTCACACACACACACGCACATTTATTATAGACACACAGACTTTAACTCACCTCTAGGAACCCAAAATTTCTAATTTTCTGCACTAATTCTGATATCCAACCTTATCCCACTTGATCTGTCCACACTTAGAACTTTCCTTTCTTAGAACTCAGACATTCTATAAGGAAACTATCAGCTTCCTTAATAAAATTCACCAAAGTTGTGACTAAGGGGAAATTACCCACATACAGAAGATGAACTAGTCCACAAATACCTAATTTATTCCAGATTTCTTCCCTTACATCTCATTGTTGCATCTGTGACCCCAAAACCAGCCTCATGGGGTGCTATGACCCATTTAACCCAAGACAGAAGACTAGACCCTAAGAACTATCCACCGTTCTCTGTAATAGGTTTCTTAAATTTAATGTTTGGATAGCTCTTAAAGAAAAAAAATTTCCATAAATTCCTACTGTTGATCTACATTATTCTCATTATGTTACTTTAAAATGTACAAGTATAAAACTAGATATAAATTTCCTATTTTATGTAGCTCTTAATTACTTAAATACCAAACAAAACTACAAATTAAAAGCAAACAAACCTGCCAGATCACTAGATCTCACAATGAAAACATCAAAGTGATGGATGATGTTTTGCTGGAACTAAATTGCTGATGTTGGGCTTGACAGACCTTCTATTTGCACATGTTTCACTTTCTGTCTACTTGATCCTTTTGACTTTGAACAGTATGGAGACCATCATTTGAGCCTTTCTCCTGTCACTGTAAAACTCATTTTTCTTAATAGATAAATATTTTTAAACTGTTGATCTATTAATTTGAAAGGCTGATAAATTTAATAGTGCATCACACTAAGTACAGAATAGGAAAGATAAACTGAAAATGAACATTAAAACTATTATTGAATAAACATTACTTTATTGTTTCTTTCCTGACACTGAGTAACAATTCAGGTGGTTATGTGGCCTTCCTACAAAGTCAGAGAGTCTTTTGAATTGAGGGTACCTACAACACTCTCTGCCAGGAAACTGATCAATTTTCCCACTGCCTTAATCTATTCAAACAGTGCAAAATCTTTATTACTACGGCTTAACATGATGTTGTCTGTCCTTCAGGTGTAACCAAATTTATCCTCAGGCACTAAAACAATATGATAGGACATTTTCATTATTTTTGAGATTATCTTCAATACAAAAACACAAAATAGAAAATTCCCTTGGATGCTTCATTCCCTCAAAATACACATTTACAGACCTACCTTGAGTAACACAGCTTCAAGAGAACAACTGAGTAACAACCAAGACACTTAAATATCATTATACTAAAGCCTTGGGAGATAGCCAGGGAACAGCAGGAATGTCAAAAAGCTGCTAATCTGTTTTACAGATTCAGACATCACAGTGTGAAGCCCTCTTCTGGGCTGCCTCCTGCCCCACAGGCAAGTCAAAACCCAGCAAGAGACAAGCACTCCCTCGGCTGCTGGCCTGGGGACCATTTTCCAGAGTTCTTTCCCATGAAAGGCCTGCCTTCCCCAAAGGCTGATGCTGGGGTTGATGCTGCCTTTCTAGACAACCTCGGTTTCCGTGTAGGCCTCATATGGAAGATGTGCAATAGCGCAGAACTCATTACATAAAGTTCCTGGGCTTTAACTCTGCCATTGCCTCTGGTAAGAATTCCCTTGCCAGCTTCAATTATGAACAAATTCAGTCTTGCTATACCATTAACTCAAGGATTATAAGCCTGATTATCTCCACTAATTGCCACATATGACTGTCCCAGTCCCATTAAACCTGCCTCCCCCAGCCTAGTGGACTCCTCTTCAGGCTCCTCTCCACTTACAACATGAAGCAAGAGGCTGCAAAAAGTTCTAATAGTTCCGATATGTCATTTGTAGATGCAAATATTATTTTCCTAGAAGTGAATAATGAAATCAAGAAGTTCAGGTCAAAGGAATTTGAGAAAACTACTTCGGATGCTAAAAAGGCCTCTTTAAGGAAAAAGATCTCCTCTATATTTGGTCAAGGACCCTCCTCACAACTTATGGCTTCATTTCTCTGTTCCCTTATAGACTTGTGGTCAAAGTCAGATAAAATATTATTCGTAAACAAAGTTAGTAGTGAGTTTACTAAAAATAAATTTTATGATTATCAGAAGCAGAATAGTATCAAATATGACAAATTTAAAAACAGAAGTTTAAAAGATAAAAGAAGTGGAGGGGCCATCAGTTGGTAATAAATGGCAACTGGACAATTGGTGTTATGTTAGGATATGGATGGTTGTTTGAAGCAGACACTATACACCTGACATCTACACTATGTTGTAAATTAAAGTTACCTCAATTTAAAAACAAACCTGAAGGTGGGGTGATTGGCTAGAGATGGTGGAAAGGCTAATGTTACTGCAATAAAAACAAAATTGGGCCCTCCCTGGTGGCGCAGCAGGTTAAAGCACAGCACTAAGAAGCTAAAGCCACTTCCGCATGAGTTCGATTCCCGCCTACCCCGGAGGTGACCACATGGCGAGGCGTTGATCTGCCTGTTCTGCTCCCCTCCCTGTCTCTGGTGAATCCTCTCACCATCCACATCTCTCTGGCCTGTACCCCAGTTCCATATGAATAAATAAATAAATCTTTTTT